ATTTTAATTTAATTAAAAATTAGAATACAAATATTCTATACTATACTAATATACCATTATATTATTTTCATTGTGTATAAATTACAAAAATAATAATTTGTATATTATACTATACTAATATATAATTTGTATATTACACTAATATATAATTTGTATACTATACTAATAGTATAATATACTATACTATAATATTATTTGTATACAAAACTAATATCTTTATATCTTTATATATAAAGATATAAAGATATAAAGATATAAATATACAAATATGTAAAGATATAAATATATGTAGAAATATAAATATATAAAGATATAAATATATGTAAAGATATAAAAATATAAATATATAAAGATATAAATATATAAATATGTACAGATATAAATATATATCTTTAATATTTTGTACATGTAAATATATAAAGATATAAATATATGTAAAAATATAAAGATACAAATATATAAATATATAAATATGTAAAGATATAAATATATATCTTTAATATTTTGTACATGTAAATATAATTTATATATATTTTTAAAATTTTTTCTAATATTTATTTTTAAAAATATAATATTACTTTAAAATTTAGTATTTAAATTTTTAATTTTTTCTTAAATATATAAATATATCAATATATTAATATATTAATATATAAATATATCAATATATAAATATATAATAATATATAAATATATCAATATATCAATATATTAATATATATATATATATAAATATATAAATATAAATATAAATATAAATATATAAATATATAAATGTATAAATATATAAATGTATAAATATATAAATATATAAATATATAAATATTTAAATATTTAAATATTTAAATATTTAAATATTTAAATATTTAAATATTTAAATATTTAAATATTTAAATATATATTAAAATATGTAAATATATTTGTATTTATAGATTTTATATTTATATATATTTATACATATATCTTTATTTGTATATAAATATAATTTATTTATAAGTTATTATTGAAAAATTCTAGTAGCTTAGTGGTTGGAGTTTCAACCTTCAATTTTAAGATACTAGGTTTGAATCCTGAAAATGACAATAATCTAGTAATAAATTAATAAAATAGTGACCGATTTATATCGATCGCTATTTTTTAAACTTTGCCACCGATTTAGCGACCGATTTAAATCGGTTGCTATTTTTTTAATATATTAATTTCGGTCACTATTTTGCGACCGAAATGAAAATCAGCTTGCTAACATATTAGCGACTTGACTTTTTGCGACGACGTCTTTCGGTCGCTAACTGATTAACGACCGATTTTTTCGATCGCTAAAATGATTTTTTCTAGTAGTGTTATAAATTCATTCATGACCAAGAAAGTTGTTGTGGTAACAAATTCAATTTTTGTGTTGAAATAGTGATTATTTATAGATTCTTTTCGTGACCAAGAAAATGTACATGTGTCAAGCATAAAGATACATAATATTTTGGGTAAATAACCCAAAAACTTTCATTCTTACATATAACAAAGAGTTATTTAGTAATAAGCAAATGAATTTTTGTATGACTTTTCATACATTTAATCATCAAAATCAACAATATATATTAGGTCTTAGTTACAATTAAATATACTAAACTATGAAAAAAATTCTTTTTAACGAGCGTTGTCTATCTTCTTTTCTCCAAAATCTGTGTAGTTTTAAGATAAAATCTCCTAGTCATTTATTTTGGATTATTCTTCATTTGAAATTTGTTTAAGACTTTTCCAATGTATTTCTTTTAAAAAATAAAAAAGTTATCACCTATATTCACCACTTATATGCCCAAAAAGTAATGCAATATACTAAGATGGCACATTTCAAACTCATTCATGATCTTCTTAAATTCTTAAAGCATAACATGTAAAACATACATTGTATATTCTTGTTAATATGTATATTCTTGTTAATCTTTATCTCTAACTTCACCACTTTCTTTAAAGCTACAAAAATGAATATTGGTAAAAGCCTTAATGTTTATTTCTTTATGATTGAATTTGAACATTTGTTCATTTTTTTCTCATGCATTGATAAATGATTTTGTAATTTATAAAAAGAGATTGTATCTATATCTTTATATTTTTGTATTGCGCAAACAACATAGTGTCATTTTGGTGTAAGTCCAAATTTGTTTTTTCTAAATAATAGTATCGGTTGAAAATCTAAATGAGAGTTAAAATCACACATCAAGTAGAAATGAAAATGTTAAGTAACTTAAAGTTAGAAAGATCCACAAATCTAATACCTTAAAGTTTTGAGTTGAAGATAATATCATATTCTCTTATATAATTGACTTGTATTTCATTCGTAAAAATATCTTAGTGTTAGTCCTCTTGGAGAAAACCTAATAGTTACTTTAATAGAAAAAATAACAATATAATAATCAAAAGTACCAAAGTACCCAACCAAAATTATTTTTCTAACTTGTGAAAACCAACGAAAACCTACAATAGGCAATGATAACGATAATTTGCAAAGAGATACAAGTATTTAAACGTACGAAAATCCTATCAATATAAGAAGTAAGTTCACCAGCACAAGAGTAAATCAAACTTCACTAAGACCAAATATAAGGTACATAGAGAATTTGATCAAAAGAACAAATAAGTGTCAACCAGTTAATATATAAAAATAAAACTTTCAATTGAATAAAAAGAAGAAGAAATTTCAATATAAGAGAAACTATGTAAAAATGATTTCTCATAACACATACTTCCAATTAATGATTCCAATAGCAAATTCAAAGAACACTATGTTGAAAATTTGTTGTCAAATTTTCATCCTGATCCAACAGTGAATGAAGCATGAATAACAAATTTCTTGAAATTGGTATGTGAAGATATTAAAAAAACATTGTTTATTTATCACTTCTTTCTCTCTTCCAAAAGTTGTGAAAAACATTCTCTTTGTTGACTTGAAAAATCCCTCTCCACTTAGGTTAAATATACAAATTTTTGAGCTTTTTGAATACATAGTTAAGAATCCAATACTCAACCCATCTCCCCATTCACAATTATAATGATCTCACAACAAGCTTCAAAATGTCATTCTGATAGTGTCTTAATCATTATATTAGCACCATTGTGATCAATATGAATTTTTTCCAACTCCAACAACTTAGTTTCCAAAACATTACATATTCAATGATATCTCACGTCTATTTGTTTATATTTAAAATGAAAAGTTAGATTTTTATCAAAATGGATAACATTCAAAATATCTATAAATAATGAATAATTGTTTTGCACAAAACTAAACTTTTATAAGATTTTCTTCAATCATAATAATTTTTACATACTTCAATAATAACAAGACAATGAACTCTATAACTATAGTAGATAATGCTATACACCTCTATAACCTTGATTACCAAGTCATAACCCTCTCACAAATGTCCACTACAGACATCAAAGTCAATGTTTGTCTAGGGACGGACTCAATCGAGTATGGTTAGAGTGGGTGGCAGATTTTAGGTTATGGATCATTGTATCAAAAGTATTTTTAATAAGGATTTCAGGCAAGTGAGTCTTATTGAGTTAAACAAAAGTATAAGTAAAGTTACTATTTAGATGTTTATGATTAAGAAATGTTTTTATTTGGAGGGGTGTGTACCAATGTAGAAAGTAATCACACTTGAGGGGAAAGTTTGTTAAAAATCAAAGTGTAGTAGTTAAAGTTCGATATTGAATAAAAATAGAAAAAATTAATAACTTATAAATAAAAAAATCTCACACACTCAATCCTTTAAGAGTTTAGATTGAAAATTATGTCATATTTCTTTCCATGGTTGAATAACATTTCATTCTAAAATCAAATATCATATAATTTATATTCTTAAAAGTATTAATAAGATTATTTGTAGTCACCATCGATACGGATACAAAGACTTAAACGATATACAAAAACTTAAATATATATATATATATATATATATATATATAATTATATATATATTGAAATTATGAAATATATCTAGTAAATTTTTAATTATTGATTTTAAATATAGTTAATATTTTTTTAAATTTTGAATTTTAAAAAATATTCTAAATATTTTATTAAAAATACGAAAAAAATAAGAGTAATATATCCAAGAAAATTATTGATTTTCGATAATTAAAGTTCAAAATAAAAATTACATTAATTATAACTAAAAAAGATATTGTAAATAATAAAAATTTCAAAAGATATGATAAATATTTTATGAAAACAATGAATAATAAGTATAATATATCTAATCACTTTTATTTATTGATTTTCAATATATTAGCCCTGCATATTAAATCGTAACTATCAAACTTTTATTATTGATACAAAAAAATTAAAAGATTTTGTAATTTCTATTGACATGTTATTTATATAGATAATATAAATAATGATATTAATAATACAAAAATAACAATTTATAAATAAAATAGGCAAATTAAATTAATAAATTCATATATAGGTGATTGAAAGAAATTAAACGACTATAACTATGGTCACAAGTTAATTTTACCATTTTTTTTATTTGACGCAGTCGTTGTTATTTATATGTTGATTACATGAGTACCGTTATTTTAATGAATAATCAATTAATAAATTTATTTTATTTTATTTTTATCAGACGTAATTTATATCCGTATCTGATCATTGAAACACAATTTGAATTCAGTTATATGATCATGCAATGTGTCTAAAATCATATATTTTAATAAATTACTAAACAACTTAATCTATTAGTTATTAATGATAATACATTACCAATAACTTTATCTTAAAGAAATAATTGATATATTTTGATAAGATATTTGGTATAAGAATAACATTTATTTAATTCATATTAGATTAAATATGAAATTTGAAATATATCTTGTGATGAAGAAAATCTTAATTTATCTATTTCCTACGCTGGTCCCACTATTTAAATAGTTCTTGGCTTAATAGATTGGAGCATCGTGGAACAAGTTGGCTTGATATCGTGAGATTAAGATAAAATATGGCTTTCACAAAGAAATCTGGATTTCTCTTATGCTTCTGGGGAATGCATTTCTTCTTCTTACTCCTTGGCTGCACTTCAAGGTTTTTCTCTTAATTTAATTTTTTTTTTTCCTTCGCATAATCATCTCTTTATATTTTTCTTTTCTCGTGTACATTCAATTTGAACACTGTTAAATACTAATTATTAGCATTTTTTTTCTATAGAGGTTTAACATCTCTATTTCAATAAGATTTTTTTTTTAAATACCAATTTTGAAAGAAAAAAGGGTCGCTTTTCTACTGTGTATCATGCACCTGTTTCATACGCAGCAGTTGTTATAATTTAATCTTACCTTCTCAGGCATTTGAAGGGAATGGGTAACAAAAGTTGTCTGGCAATTAAAAACAATATTTTATTATGTTATAAATAAATTATTTATATAAATAATTTTATTTTAATTTAAATATTTTATATATGAGATTTATATTAAGTATTTTTTAAACAACTCTACGTAATATTTTTATTTTTAAATATTAAATTAATTTTCAGAGTAGTAATCCGTGTCATTCCAATAAAATATGTATTTTTTTTAAAATATTAAATTTAAGAGACTTAAGAATCAAATCCCAACTTATCTTATTATTCTGTCTTTCCTGTCCTGGAAAAGATGTATATGTTTTTAATATTAAATTTGAGAAATAAAATAAATTTTAAACTTAAAATATTATATTTAAATCCTAAATTTTAAATTAAAAGAAGTAGAGATTATTTGATTTAATTTTATTTTTTTAATTTATAAAAACAATTATAGAAATAAATTTTGAAAAACATTTTTAAAACTTGTTCACTCAACAATATCTTTCCAATTGCAGGAGTTTAAGAGAGTTCAAAAGTTCTGACGTAACATCTAATAATCCTGCAGTTAAACTGCATATAGAAAAGAAGCAGGTATGAAATTTCCTATTTTAAATGTTAAAATCCATTTAATTAACGAAATTAGGCCAATTTAATTTATTTATTTCTTGAATGGGTATGTTAATGTTCTCAGGTGATAGCGGAAAATGACATCATTCGTGTAACTTTCTCAAATCCGGAGGGTACTGTCCTTGGAATAACATATAATGGAATAAATAATGTGCTCGAAGGTCGCAATAAATTTAACAACAGAGGGTATATATATATATATTCAGTAACTTCCTTTTAAATAATCACTTTTTCAAAAAGTTAATTTGAGCTTTTCAAAAACTAAAGACAGAATTTTCGTCTGCAGGTATTTTGACATTGTCTGGAATGCACCAGGACGCCCTTCCAAACTTTGGGGGTAAGCCTTCTCCACAACTTATCGATCACACAAAACACATTCATATGTTATTATATATATACATGAAACAAAATCAAATTTATATTATTTTGTATAATTTTTATATGATTTATGTTGGATATATCTGCAGAATTCAAGGGAATAGATTTTCAGTTGTAGAGGCAAACGAGAATCAAGTAGAGCTTTCGTTTTCCAGAACATGGAACAAGGACGACTCAAGTCTCCCCTTAAACATAGACAAAAGGTAGTTTTCTTTAGGTCTTCCTCAAGTACTTTTTTTACTTAAAAATAGTTAATTCATTGAAATATAGATTTGTAGAAATGCATGAGTTATGAAATGGTGAAATTTTGCAGATATATTTTACGAAGAGGAAGTTCAGGATTATACATATACGCTGTATTTGAGCATCCTGAACATTTTCCTGCTCTGGAGATTGATCACATTAGGATTGTTTTCAAGCTACAAAATGACAGGTAAGTACAAAATCACTGCCATGCGATATTCATGAACAAATATACTCATCATAAGTGTTTTTTATAATCATAATCTTATAAACCCTAAACCTAAACCAATAAAATATGACATGCACAGGTTCCACTACATGGCTGTTGCAGATGATAGGCAACGACTCATGCCAACACCAGAAGATAGATCTTTGGGACAACGCCTTGATTATGATGAAGCAGTTCTAATCACCAGCCCTAGTAACCCGGAACTTCAAGGAGAGGTACCTCTTTCTTTAACAACCCTTTTCATAATTTTGGTAAAAAAATAACATTTCAAAAATAATTTTGTATTTATTTATTTTGTTGCATTGTTTATTGTTGTTAATGGAAAGAGTTTATTAATTGTCGGATTGGACTATGATCAGGTTGATGACAAATATCAATACTCCTGTGAGAACAAAGACAATAAAGTTCATGGGTGGATTAACTTGGACTCCAAGACCAATGAATCAGTGGGCTTTTGGATGATCACACCCAGTAATGAGTTTCGTAGTGGTGGCCCAATTAGACAAGGCCTCACTTCTCATGTTGGCCCTACCACCCTTAATGTAAGTTCAAAACTTTTTCTCATCCTCTCCTCTTTATCTCAAATCCACAACAAAAAATAATGATTATTGACATACCTGAACTACTTCAAATAATTCATTATATTAAAAAGTAAATGTGTTATTAGTGTCATCATGTCTAATTGACCATTTTATTTATGTGTAGATACTTCATACCACTCACTACTCCGGCAAGGAAGTAACCATGAAATTACAAGAAGGGGAACCCTTCAAGAAAGTTTATGGTCCCGTTTTTGCTTATCTCAACTCCATTTCTGGTATTCATGATTCTGAACGAGTCCTCTGGAGTGATGCTGTTCTACAGGTACTACAACCAACAACATTTAATTATCACATTAAAAAAGTGTGCTTATATTAGGCTTTAATGTGACTGATAAATTTTTTTCACCATGAAGCTATCTAAGGAAGTCAATAGATGGCCTTATGATTTTCCCAAATCAGAAGATTTTGTCCCAACCAATAAACGAGGAAGATTGGAGGGACAATTACTTATCCAAGACAGGTACATGTTCATACATTTATATTTCATTTTGTAATCTTTTATGATATGAAAGATTAATGGTCCATGCTTTGCCACCAGACACATTAAAGGAGGGAAATTTGTGTACGGCGACAATGCTTTTATTGGTTTGGCTCTACCTGGGGATGTAGGATCATGGCAAAGACAAAGCAAGGTATTTCTAGCTTCTAACCTCTTCCAATCATTGATGCACCATTGAAGGGAGAAAAGAAAAACTTGCCAATGAGACACTAAAAAGCATGTGCTTTTACCACTTTTTACAGGGTTACCAATTCTGGACTGAAGCTGACAAATTGGGCCACTTCACAATTGAAAATATTGTACCAGGGGAATACAATTTATACGCATGGGTTCCTGGTATTTTTGGGGACTACAAATATAGCACCATTGTAATCATCACACCAGGTCCATAATTTTTCAATGAATTTCACATAAAATTGTTAGGTAAAAAATGATTCTTATTAACATGTTCGTACTCTGCAATTTAGGATGCAATATCCAATTGGGTTCACTCATATACAATCCTCCAAGAAATGGACCTACCGTATGGGAAATTGGCATACCAGATCGCTCTGCTGCAGAGTTCTATGTTCCAAATCCTTATCATAATCTCATAAACCGATTGTACACTGGGAAACCATTACACAAGTTAGCTCAAAACTTAATCGATAGTTGTTCAAGTTTTGACCTGCATAATTGTCAGTTTCTCTTAACTTCAATTTTCGCTCTAACAGGTTTAGACAATATGGATTATGGGCGCGTTACACTGAGTTATATCCAAATGAGGACCTCATTTACAATGTTGGTGTGAGTGATTATAGTAAAGATTGGTTTTATGCTCAAGTTCCCAGGTAATTATTGCAATTAGTTTTATTGATTGTTGAGATTTTATTTATATTTTGACTCTAAACACCAACACATGTAGGAAGATAGGAAACAACAAATATCACCCAACAACATGGGAGATTAAATTCCATTTGCCATTTGTTACAAGAGGCAGATACACAATGCGACTTGCCTTGGCCTCAGCTACACGTTCCAACCTGGTGGTAAGTTGAGATATGAGAGTCTAAATTGTTTATAGTTGTTGAGTTTGGTGTGACCTATTTCACTAAGATTATGTTATACATGGATGGGTTAATAGGTTGGGTTTAATAACCCTGTGGCTCGTCCTCCACACTTCTCTACGGGATCAATAGGCCAAGATAATGCCGTAGCAAGACATGGCATCCATGGATTATATTGGTCTTACAGTATTGAAGTTCCAAGCAATCTTTTGGTGGAAGGAAGCAACACCATCTATCTGAGGCAAGCAAAAGGGATAAGTCCTTTCCAAGGCATTATGTATGACTACATCCGTTTCGAAAGACCAGAAGTTTAGAAGGATTTCATGAGCCAAACACCTAGTTAAATTTAATTGAATGATTTTAGATTGAACTTTTGATGTGTTCAAAAAGTTTATATTTATTAATATTGATTAGTTTCATTTAAAAGTGGAGAAGGATTTTTTTTAGTTAACAGAGTGTTACTTTTACAAGTTTTGGAAAGGAGAAAGAGGTAGAAATATTGTTTCACATTTTCGTACATCAGTTGTTAAAAAATATTGGATATTATAATTTTTTATAAATAACTAAATAAAAGAGATATTATTTTTTCAAACAAAACATTTTTTTAAAATAAAATAGCTCATTAACCTATTTACATAATATAGGTCAAGTTAAACCATTTTTTTTGTATTTTTCTTTAAATATAAATATGACTTCTCAAATTCTTTTACTCAATCCTATCTAGAGTCGTATTATTTATTTTAACAACTCTGGTTGTTAATAAATATATTTAAAATCTTAACCCAAATTTAAGACAAATAAATTAAAAAATATAAGAAAACATTTTAAAAAATAGTAAATAAAAAATATAAAATCTTATTATTTTACATAAAATAAAGAATATATCATCTACAAATTTTAAAATATATTTTTTTCTTGTACGAGAAGTCAAATATATTACTAAAAATATTAGATAGTTATGACTATATGTGATTTTAACTACTAATTTTATTTATTAAAATTGAAAATTAAATAATAAGTTATTTTCATCTTTATCACATAGTTCAAACTTTGCAAAAATGTTTTGTAATAAAGTGAATATTATCATATCAGATGTTACATTATCATATGAGATGTTACCCACGTGTTATTTGAATTCTCTAGATGTATTATTATATGACATTCTAACTAATTTAGGTAACATTATGGAATAAATTAGTTTTGGAAGTGTATATTTGTGTTGGATAGGGATATTAAAATAGATTAAGTTTGATGCATTCACTCAAATACTTGAGAAATAGAAAAAAATATATGGTTTAAATTAAATCAGATTTATTTTATGATCTAAATATGAGTTTAAGTCAAACTAGTTTGTAGACTTACGGAATAATCCATTTTATAAGATATAAGTTCTTTTTTAAATAAAAATAAAAATAATATTATTTTATTAAAAAAAAAATATATATATATATATATATATATATATATATATATTATAAATTAGTTTGACAAGAAATTCACTTATTTTAAAAGTTAATATATAAGAGGAAGATTTACTTATTCAATGGTTGAATAATTAAAATAAATTACTATTTTAAATCAATAAATTACTAAAAGAATGAATATGATGATGAAAAGTAAGTTTTTAACTTTTATTTTAAAAATAAATAAATATCTTTTTTTATAATTTATATATTAAGTTATTATATTAAAATAAAAATTATTTTTTTATTAAGATTATTTAAAATATATTATTTTTATTTTTTATTATTATTTAGATATATTTTTAATTAGTTATATTTTATATAAATATGTAAAAAATAATAATTTCAATCAAGAAAAAATTTGTCTGTTAATTTATTAGCCTATCATAAAGCTAGAATACACTAAAAATTATATCTTTTAAAAATATAGTTTAAGTTAAACCAGATTACCCATCTTGACAACTTTCATTTCTTTTTATTATGATTTTTTTCTTGTATTTTTTATGAATTTTTATTTACTTTAATCATTAATGTGTTGTGAAAATGAAAGACATGAAATTATTTTAAGAAATATTTAGACTCAAGTGAGAGATATTGACCTATAAACTTTTGGACAATAATATTTTATTTTGTATATAAATAGATTGTGAATTAAGATTAAATAATCAAATGAATGAGATATTATTTTTTAGATAAAATCAAATTTTTTCTATGTAGATAAATATTTTTTTTTAACCAAACCAAAAATTTATTTGAAGACATACCATAAGTTTAGGTTTTGCCAAAATTTGTACTTCATTTTAAAATATAGGTTGAATTAAGTTATTAGACTTTTTTTATTTAAACGGTAAGTTTAGATAAATCTATATTAGATCACCTGTTTTTGACAGCTCTAATTATTAATAAAATTGTTTTAAGAGTTTATTTTAAGTTTAAGACAAAAAAAAAGTAGAAAGGAAAAAAAAATGTGAGAAAAAAATATAAGTAAACATAAAAAAAGTAGTTCCCAAAAATTCTTTCTAGATGATGAAAATATTGTTGCTTTACATAAAATAAAGAATATCTCATACAAACTTAGAAATATTGTTTCTTTATCTTTAAAGTCAAACATACTACCCTTATTAATTGATGGATTACCCTTATTTTGTCATTTAGATAGTTCATACATTAAATTAGAACTATCAAGAGAGGTGTTTGAAATATCTAAGGATTGGGTAATGCACGTTTAGATAGAAGAAAAATTATTTTCTCTCACACTACCTTGTTTAATAACATGATAATATAGTATGGTGAGAATTTAAGGATAAACTTAATTTAAAAATGCTTTGTTACGTAAAACTAAATATTTTCACAAAACACATGTGATTTGAATTCGTTATTTGTATTATTATAATTATAATTAATTTAGTGCCACCTTTTTGTAATAAAAAATTGTTGCATAATGTTGGTGTTTTGAAACCCTTGAAAAAAACTTAATTATTGATGTTTTGTGATCTTTCAAATTAGATTATAAATTTTCCACGGATAGAACTTTTTCTTGTATTTTTTTTTATAAAATTTTATTCACTTTAATTACTTATGATGTGAACATGAAAGACATTGATAAAATTATTTAAAACAATTACTTAAACTCAGGTGAGAGATATTAAACTATAAATTTTTTTACAATGATATTTTATTACATTATTTATATCATTATTTTGTATAAATAGGTTATGAATTAATTTTAAATAATCAAATAAATGAGATTAATTTTTTTTTTACAAAATCAAACTTTATCTTTTGCAAAAGGTATAAGTTCTAAGGGATTATCCATGACTACATCCATTTGAAGAGGCAAGAAGCTTAGAAGATTTGATGGAGCCAAACACCTACTTAAATTCAATTGAACGTTGATTTTCACGCACATTATAGGGTTAAGTTTCTAATTATATGTTCAATAAGTCTAAATTTGTGAAGTTTAATTGGTTCCATTTAATTCAAGTAGAGAGAGATTTTTTCACTACAAGAAATTTTAATATTACCGACGGTCAAAATTCGTCGGTAATATTTTTATTATTTATTAAATATTTTACTTATATAGTCCCTTTATTTTTTTATTATTTATTATTAATTATTTTCCCTTATTACATTTTTATAGCCTTCAATTATTATCAGATTAAGAGAATTATCATTGGCAGAACCTAGTACCTTAGAGTTAGAGGTTGATACTACAACCACTAAGCTACCAGTAAATTTTTTATAATAATTTACAAATAAATTATATTTATATATTTATATATTTATATATTTGTATATTTGTATATTTGTATATTTATATATTTATATATTTATATATTTATATATTTATATATTTATATATTTATATATTTATATATTTATATATTTATATATTTATATATTTATATATTTATATATTTATCTATTTGTATATTTATCTATTTATCTATTTGTATATTTATATATTTATATATTTATATATTTATATATTTATATATTTATATATTTATATATTTATATATTTATATATTTATATATTTATATTTTATATTTTTATTTTTTTATATTTTTATATATTTATATATTTATATTATATATATTTATATATAATTAAATATTTATTTTTTAAAATTATTTAATTTAAGAAATTATTATAAATTAATCTAATTATGATTAAATTAAATTATTAAATAAAAAATATTTAATTTTTTAATTAGGTGAATATTTACTAATTGTTAATTTACCAACGGAAATATCCGTCGGTAATTTATAGATGAATTTACCATCGGATATATACTGTCGGTAATTAATTGTTAATTTATCGACGGATTTACCGACGGATATATCTGTCCGTAAATTCATTCGTAAATTATTGACGGATTTATCAACGGATATATCCGTCGAGTAACTAATTATTATTTTACCGACGGATATATCCGTCGGTAAGATCAAATTCCACAAATATTTTATATCCGTCGGTAATTTTCGTCAGTAATAATTATTTTCCGACGGTTACAAATCCGTCGGTAAATATCCGTCGGTAATACGCGATTTTCTTGTAGTGTTTTAGGTTGATAGTGTTTATTTTTATAGGTTTTGGAAGAGAGAAAGAGGTATAAATATTTTTTAACATCTTCACATATTAGTTTTCCAAAAAAATTGTGATTTTCTTGGTTCACGGTTAAATCGAATTGGAAATTAACCAAACAAATTTTAATACAATGTTCATTGTTAAGTGAATAATTTTACATGTTTCATATTCATAATTAATCACTTAATTATTATGTATAAGTGGAAATTTAGCTTGCAAAAATATATTTATTTAATTAAATTTATAATAAGGTATAATTTCTAGAACCTCATTTTGTTTTGGAAAATATGTATTAAAATTGGGTCTTTTTGGTGATGCAGGCCAACAAGTTGAAAAACTCTCTATTCATTCGAGTTGATTTCCATGCACCAAGCGGATAAGAGGCCGCAAACAAAAGAGAAAGTTCAACTCCAATTCGCTCAGCGGATTACCGTGCGCCCAACGGAATTGAGGCCGCAACCAAATGGGAATTTCAAGCTTCAATGCTCCCTGCGAATTATCTAGCGCCTAGTGGATGATGTTTCTTCAAGCTGAAGTACTTATAGATATGTTCAGCGACATATCTAGAGCTAAGCGGATGATGAACCCTTGTTCTAATATAAATAGATTTTTAGAGAGAGTATCCAGAGAGACATAACGAGAATATCTAAAACGGAGAGACAGAGATAGGAAATCAACCAGAGCTTCAAGAAACACAAATCCGAAGCAAGATAAAAGGCCGGATAACTTGGAAATGAGGATCTACCTTCACTTTTGTTTG